AAATTAAAGAAATAATATAGAATCATGAAATGCTTCCTAAAAATTACAACAGAAGCTATATAGAAGTTTATAAGACCTGCAGCCCCTCCAGCAGCTCTGAATGTTTTTATTGGTGCCAACAAGAAAAGGTAGTCCTCATAATAAATTTACAAGCACAAGCAGCATTTTTTTCCCTTAACATAGCAATTTTTTTCTATTTTTTGCAGTTTAAGATGTTAAAGAAATAAGATTCAGATAAAAAGTCAGCTGTTTTCAGTTTTCTACAACTTGTTGCCTTTACTATGTTCCTTTTTTCTTTTTTATTTGATGTTTTGCATGTTACAAGAGGCTAATAGTTGTGTCAAAATGGCGACATTGAATGCTTTCATTTTCTTTTTCATCAGTTTAAAATATTTCTCTAATCTTCATCTATAATCTGCAGTGAACAGGAAAGTGGAACGTCATCCCAGAGTGATGAGCAGTTTTAATTAAAGTCATCACCAACTACAAAATGGACCAAGCAAGGGGTTTCAGAATGGACCTATTTGCAAATTTTTATAAATGATTGAGCCTGGTAGAATGAATAACAAAATCAGTGAAATCCAGATACTTCCAGATGCTATTCCCCTTGTGGTCTAATATTAAATCAGATTTTCTGTTTGTGGTAAGATTACAGAATATCTTTATTTTATAAATTAAAGCTTCTTTTCCCCCCTTACTAGTCAAACAAGCTGAATTTCATCATTTAGAACTACTTTGTTAAAGATGTTAACACATTTTTTGTGGGACTGAGATCAGGGTTGTGCAGCGTCCTCTCCACAACTTTTATTTCATTGTCCTTAAGCTACTTATTTGTCCTAAAGCTGTAACTTCCTGGCTTCCTTGCTTCAAAGTAAAGTTGTTTTTAAGATGCAATTCATTTTTTAAAGTGCACCCATCTCTTCTGCAGAGATGAACCCAGTAAAAACCAACATAATACCAACACTTTTCTCAGGCTTGTAATTGCTCTTTAAGGTGTATTAATGGATATTGCAGCCATACACAGTTTCATTTTGTTTCCTTAGACAAAATGATGTGTCTCAAATAAAAAAACATTTTTTACAGAAATCCAAACCTGTTATTTTATATATCTACTATTTTTGAAAATACTTTTAAATTCATGTTTAATATTAAACCTCATATGGAATAATTGACTTGTGTGTATGTAGATATAACCATACAGCAATACAGCAATCCAGAAAAATCTACAAATGTATAAGAAAACAATTATCAATAAATTATGAGAGATCAACTGACAGGAACCACTAGGGTCTAGCTTGAATTTTGAATAAATGAGGGACTGAGGAAATAAACCATATATAATAAAATGGAAAGAGATCCAAAAAAATGTTACCATAGAAAATTATATGATTTTTTTTTTTAAATTAATGTAAGTATTTATTGATTGAAAACAAAACAAAAGGTAGAGCAGTTGTCATAAGACCAAAATAGTAAATGTGGGATATTTGATGTATTGTTTTTGCTGCATTTTCTGCCCTGTTTATTTTTTTATTTTAAATTCTTATATCAATGAAGTAATATAATGAATATTGATGTTTATCGTTATGGATCACCAGTGGTGCAGCAGTCACTCATGCACACAGAAGTGCATGAGTGACTTTTTCCCGGTGGGCTGCATCAGTTATTTGATGTAGAAGCATATTTATAGAGGAGCATTCTGTCACCAGTAACCAAGAGAACTTTAAGCAAAATGAATATTTTTTTCTGTCAAACCAGCAGCTTTTCAGAGGAATGACTCTGATTGTTTAATTGAGGATAGTGTCTGCAGCCTCAAACTGTCACACAAAGTCCAAAGGGCTTTAAGAATGTTTCTGTGTTTAATGGTATCAACGGCAACTTTTATCTGTAAGCTAAACCTTCAAGGTGAAATAAAGAGAACCAGGTCTCTATTGCAGATGCACATGATTTCTTTCATATTTTTATATATAAAATTAAATGTTATGCAAATTGACTGAGAAAAACTTCTCCCACAGATTTCCCCTCCTCACCTCGCTGACCCATGAAAGAAGCAATGCCGGTTCTCACAGCTGGAACAGGTAGGAAACCTGGAATATACGCTCAGCAGAGTCTTACAGCTGGTAGCTCCCTGTGTTCCATCTGTTTAGGTTAATATCCATATATCTTTTTTTTTGTGTGTGTGTCCTTCACAGGGCTGCATGAAACACTGGCCCTGCTGACCTCTCAGCTGCGCCCCGATGCCAACCATAAAGAAGACATGGTCTTCCTCAAAGACGTTTTCAGTGAGAGGAGTTTGGGATACCTCATGAAGGTAAAAAAAAAAACGATGTTGACATTACTTCTATTGACAAGTATTGTTAGATTAACATCTGCTTCTATTAAATATGACCACATTGTTTTTTTAATGTGAGGTTGTTATAATACTCTAAAATCTGATGTTAACCTTACTTAAAAGAATCTTGGAAATAAATAGAAGTTTTATGTTTTGTTTACTTAAAACTTAGTTGTTCAGTGTACTGAAGAGTTTGCTGTAAGAACTTATTTTCGAGAAGTTAATTTAACTTAGTCTAGTGAAGTTGTTCCAATGGAGAAAAGTGACCCATCAACTTCCAGGAAGCCTTCTGTTTCGATGCTCTTCAGATGAATGTATGCCAGTAATCATATAATCTAGGGTCATTTGAAAACAGCTTCACAAATGTAAGATCCCATAACATTTGATCCTCTAATCTGGATAAAATGATATTTGATGCATCAGTTAACCAGTACCTCAGTATTTCAGCTTGTTCTCAAAACATTTAATAAACCCAATTAATTGTAACAGAAACCTTCCTAGTTCTGTTGTTTGGCCACATCCATGCCAAAAAGTCATCCAATGCTTCACAACTTTTAATTACTCAACTGTTATGCATGGTCTTAACTTAAATAGTTTGAGTTATCAAGCGTTTTTTTTATCCAACAGTTCCCAACACATATATAGAATAAGTATAAACAAGTTGATGACAATTGGGTTCTTTTCTCTTTGTCTTTTTTTCAATTGGATATTCTGAATTGTAAGCCCCCAGTAAAAGTTAAAAAAGAGCTAATTTTCTTCCAATGATCATATATAAATGTTGGATTGAAATAAAAATCCAAAAGTAAAAACCTCTAAACCTTGTTTCAGTCTTTAATTCTTTAGAATGATTCTTTATCCCCTTTCAGTAACCCTTTTAATTGAACAATAAGTTCCCCCAAACTTATAAAAATATAGTTTTTCCAAAAGAGACACTTTTAATACCTGGGATGGAAAATTACCTGCAGGGTTCAGAAATGATAGTTATTTCCTCTGATGAGATAAAACCATGAAGCCCTTCGTTCAGCCTCATTTCTTTTGGTGTTTGATGTTCCCATACTCCTGCCAATAGAAAATATTTTTTACAAGGGGTCACAAAATAAACCTAACATTTTTTTCTTTTAGTGACCACTTTTAGAAAAGCTTGAAGAACAGTCCTTTTGGACTTAATAGCTTTCTAAATTTGGAAAAGTACTGAGTGTAAAATTAGCAACTTTTCATCTAATAACTTCCAGTGAAAGGACACTAGGCTTGATATTTTTACACACCTTATTTGGTAGTAGATATTGTTCAATTTTTTTTTTCTTTTAGTAATATGATTATTTTAGCCATCTTTCTTTGAATTTTCCTACATGATCCCTACATGTAACAAACAGCTTCACTGAAATAAGCACTGAAAACAAACTTTTTTCCACAGATACACGAGAAGCTGAGACAGTATGAGAGACAAAGCCCCACACCGGTCCTCCACAGCGCCTCCTCTCTGGCTGAAGATGTAAGTTCATTTCTCACGCTCCATAAATAATTTCCCAACTTTAACACAGCTTCAGAAAAAGCAGTGCAAGTCTTGAAATGAATTTTAATGTTGCCAAAAGTGCTGAATCATCCTGATGCTCCTCTAATGAAGTCTCGCATCCTGCTGCTCTCCTGCTCACATCAGTGGGAGGAAAGTGCTGACTTCTGCTATATGATGTTCCTCTTTCCACGTGTCTGTCTGTGAATCTGTCTGTAATTACTCCACAGTAAGCTGAGTAAACATTACCCGTGTTCACTTGTACTTTGGGAGCCTGTATTTGAGTACTTGGTGTTTTTTCAGGTGGCAGAAGAGCTACAAACTGGACCAATGAGCACAGAGGAGAAGGAACTTCTGCACCTGCTGATGTCACCACATCTGAAGGTAAACACACATTCAGCAGCTTTCCTTTACCTATGCCAACAACTTTGGAGCCCTTTTTAGAAACTTAATTTGTAATGATCTGAAGCATTCCACTATTTCAAAGGCTCTTTCTCTAAATTTATTTCAGCAGTTAAATATCAGAAGATTGATTTTTGTTGTGTTTTTCAATATCATTAGGCTGTCCTCTCAGTGCATGACACTGTGGCACAGAAGAACTTTGACCCAGTGCTGCCTCCGCTTCCTGACGACTTTGAGGAAGAGCTGGATGAGGAATCTGTGAAGATTGTCAGACTGGTGAAGAACAAGGAACCTCTGGTGAGTTGTAAAATGGTGAGGAACCTACTAGTGAAAGGTTGTGTTCTTCTGTCAGTGATTGTGTTTCTTTATCAGGGAGCAACGATCAGACGAGATGAAACGACAGGAGCAGTGATCGTGGCGCGGATAATGAGAGGAGGAGCTGCAGATCGAAGCGGTATGTCAAACTTCATAGTCTTCCTTTTAGCTCACAACTATATCAAAAGACATTTTATTTCTGTTTTATTTAGTAACATAAGTAGTTTATTGAGCTCCCCAGCAGTTGTTTTTTTTTTTTTTTTATACTGACATGTTCATTTTTCTTGGTTTGTTTCATAGGCAAAACCTTCGGATAAGTGAATCATGTTTCACATCATTTTAACTTGCCAAAAAAAAAACCTACTTAGCATCTTTATGTTCTGAGTGTAAAAGGACAGAAACTTAAATGTTTTATGGTTAACTATAAGTTAAATCCTGCTGTTCAAAATTGTAGGTTACCCTGTTTTGAGAACCAGAACAAGACTGCACTAAGTTCAGTAATCTAAGCTGTTATTGATCTACGTTTGTTTTTCTTAGTTTGTCAAATCCTCTCAATGTCTGCTTTCTCTCATCTGCTCCCTAAATCCCTTCATTTTCTCTCAGAGTTTTATTGATTTAGGAAAATGTAGCAAGTCTGAACATGAAATAAAAAAAGGGTTTATTTGATCAAGAGTTGTGTAATATGCCAGCATCCCTAAAATGACTGTCTAAAAGGATAGATCCCAAATACGGATGATAACAAATGCTTCCATTATAAAGAGAGGGATTTTCCACCATAGCAGCTGTTAAAAGAACAGAAATAAGTGTATTTTCCCTGATATGGACTAGCAACCTGGCCAGGGTGTATCCCCCCCCTCAAAGACCCTGACAGTTACGTAATGGATGTATAAAAAATATTTACTTTTCGTATGGGAAAGCTGTCTGAGCTTGGTGAGGTAACAAACTACAGCCCTCAGGCAGAATAACGATCAGAGATGTTCCTGGTCTGCAGAGAGATGCCATTTGCAACAAATGAGATGCAGAAAAACCTTTAGTAAGAGGATGCAAAAAAATGTATGGGATGAAAAACAAGAGGTTGGTTTCTATAAGAACAGGACGATCAAAGCTGGAAGGGGAGTGATACTGCAGCAGGAGAAAACTGAAGGGATGCTGCAGTTGTAGGTAAAAAAACAAAACAACAGAGCTCTCTGAATCTGCTTTTGTCGCACAATACACACTCATGTAGATCTTTCTCAGATGTCACCCACATCCGGCTGCATGCAGAGTAAATCAACCAATTAGTTCCATATCCATGAAATTTTAATGTCCTCTTGAATTCTTGCAGCATTAAATCATTAAAAAGGTGTTGCCTGTGTGAAGAAAGGGGTTAAGGATTATTGCCTGGTGAATGCGTACATAATACATGTGTGACTGAATGATATTATCTACTCTAAGCTTCTTTGTCCTGTGGGAATATTGATCTCTCTCAGCTCTGGTTTCATTGTTGAGGCTGCAGCTCAAAAGATCTCATGTGAGGATAGAAAGTCTGTCGCTGTGACAACAAGACAGATGTTTAGATATGTCTCAACACTGATCAACCCAAGAGCTCCTCAGGACTTTTTTTTTGCATTTTTAAATTTTTTTCTTCCAAATAAATATATTTTTTTCTTTTATAGGCTTAGTCCATGTAGGAGATGAACTCAGGGAAGTCAATGGAGTTTCTGTGATCCACAAGAGGCCAGATGAGATCAGTCAGCTTCTGGTATGAACCTCTCACCTTCTCTGAGGCATTAAAGCCAGTCTCCTACTGTATGTGGATGCATGGCCCAACAGAAGTCTCTTCATATTTATTTATTTATTTTCTGCCTTCTCCAAACAGGATAAATTCAGACAGAAAGTAACTGTTTTCATTACAAATATTATACAAATATAACTATGAATGAAGCTTGCTGAAAGATAATTCTTGTAACCTGAAAAGTGAAGTTTTCAAAACAAATAACATAAGCCTTTGATTTCTTAACGTCACAATTCAGTTTAGGGACAGACATTTAAAAAGATTAAGTGTTTTTGCAAAGTGAAAATGAGAGCTGACCTGTTAACTAAGATCTTTGTCACACACTTGTAAATGTAAAACAAAATACATCACACTAGTAGATAATATTTTTACTGTTCTGCTTGCATATTTAAAGTAAAGCGAAGTTTGGTTTTTATGTGTTCTGTATAATGGTGACTAATGCTGCTCTTTTATTTTGAAAATCCATTACAACAACTTTAACTGTGAATTTTACAAGAACAAACATGAGAGCATCATGGGAATATATATGTATTTTTGTTTTTCTATAGGGTCCAAAAACCTGACCAATAATGTTAAGATAACTGGAGAAGAAAAAAAAGTAAGGGTATTGCTGAAACCTTCAAACCTGCACTAGAATTGGAATTAGAAAGCAGTACCATAATATGAAATCACCCAGTCAAAGTCCAGACCTAAATCCAAATTATAATTTGTGGGAAGACTTAAAAATGTGGTGTTTAAAGAGGCTGTTTATAAAAAAATTGGGATCAATATAAGAAGAAGAATGGGTAACGAGTCTCTACATGTACAAAGGTAGAAAAAACAAAGAAAATAACCAAAATCCAGCTGCTTCCTTTGCAGTTTTCAGTTATGTACAATATTGGCTCTTTGTGAGCGAATACAAATTAGAGGCACATTTTTCACATAATTTGTGAACAACTTGTCCTCCTCCTTCTCTTAATTAGAATCAAATTTAAATATGGAAAACGCACCACCTTCTAGGTCCACAAGTCATATTGACTTTTCAGAGACCAGGAAAATTAGATGTTAAAATATGCTATTGTTTTTCTTTTAAAACAGTTTTTTCAAGAAATTTTAGGTCCTCAAGATTTAAATTGGCCTTAAGTTTTTTCCCTTATGAACTTTTATCTAAAATAAACCATTTCAAGTATAATGACACCTCATGGCTTTTCTGTTGTGATCATGTTGCTGTAGTTGATACACACTGTTTATTTGTGATGTAGTCCCAGTCCCAGGGCTCCATCACTCTCAAGATAATCCCAGCCATCAAAGAGGAGGACAGACTGAGGGAGAGCAAGGTGAGGTGAAGCATGGCCAACATTTATGTAAAACAAAAAAATAAATCAAGTGAAGTTTTTATGTTTTGGTTTGTTCTGCAGGTATACGTGAGAGCCTTGTTTGACTACACCCCTCTAGAAGACAAGGCCACTCCGTGCCAGGAAGCGGGACTTCCTTTCAAACGGGGAGACATCCTGCAGGTTGTGACGCAGGACGACCCCACATGGTGGCAGGCCAAACGTGTGGGAGACAGCACCCTGCGGGCCGGACTGATCCCATCCAAACAGTTCCAGGAGAGGTGAGAACATCAGACTTTTAACATTTAGTAGCAGCAGAGACTAAATTATTCACCCAGACATTACTGGTGGATTTTATTCTCCCTTTCTAATCTCTTCAAATCCACATTTGCGTGTTCCACTGACAGAGGTCAGCTGTGATTAGATGGAGCATCAGAGAGTGGGGGGAAAAAATAAGCAAAAATATAACATTGATGCTGTGGGAACATGCTGATACTGTTAGTGTGATAATCCTGCAGTGAGATGATCTCGGCACAGAGATCCCTGCCAAACACTGCAGCCACGGCTGGATTAAGAACCACTGGAAGAGGGAGCAGTAAATATACATATGTGGAGTTTTACATAAATCTGATGGATTAAACAATGAATTTACCAACGGGATGCTCAGACGAGTGAATGCAGGGTTATGGGTTTATAGAGCACATATCTTTATTTGAGCAAAATCTCAACATTTGACAAAAATAATAGCAGAGATAAACAGTCTGGTGAGAGGATAGGGTAAATGAAGGAGAACAAATTAAAAGAATCAACACAATTGTGTGCAGAATTATATTTTGCATCCACCAATTGGTATGCAAGATTATTAGAAGAGGCAGATTTTTTTTGGTTAACAATTTAAGAATTTTTTACTTTTTTATTTTGGTCTTGCCTTTCTTTGTAACCAATGCTTGCTCAATGCTTGTCAACTTTCTTTGCTTTAAATTTGGCCTTTTTTTAAGTTGATGACAAATTATGTCCCAGTCAACGTCATTACTGAATCTCTTTTCAGTATGTTATTGAAGTTAATTAAATCATCACCATGTATATAGAAGCATTTTATCAGTTTTAGAATTGTTTTTGCTCCGGATGGTACATCTTTTGTTCTGCTTTATGCCGAAGGATGTTGGCTGGAGATATTCAAATTATGTGGAAACTTAGAGCTCAAAATTTTTCACATCATAAGGAAAAAACACTGATGAGCTGACAGTGATGTTAGTTTTTTAAAACACAGTATAAAATTGTGTTAATATTTTTAGGATCAATTGAACACATGGTTGAAAATGTGTAGATATATATATATATATATAAAGAAAATGTGTAGATTGTGGGGGCAACTCCTTTGAAAAAGAATAAAGGAAACAGCAGATTTCTTGTGCAAAGAATCAAAAAATTTATCGACATTGAAATATTTTGAAACATACTAAAAATGTTCAATGAATGAAAGGTGAACAATAATAATAAAACATTGATGTTTTTTTTATGACTCCTAAAAACAAATAATTAAAAAGTCACAGTTATTTTTTTTTGTTCAGCTAAAGAGGAAAGTAAAGAAGTGGTACAGAACAAAAATATAATCTCAATTGCAACCAAGGAATGTTTGAGAAATTGATTAAGAGCAAAGAGGATAGGATAAATATATGCACTCGATAAATTGTCAAAATAAATAAAACCAACATATCACTATACACTGTAAAATAAAACAAGGCTGTAGTTGAATTGTTAAAAAGGCTTTTGAGATTTTGGATCATTAAGAAATACAGATTAAATATCATTATCTTCTTAAACTTATTTAATGTAAGGTGACTAGGTAAAAAAAATGTAGGCAAATTAAGTGTGCAGTCAGAGAAATTACATCATAGTAAATGTATCAAAGTCAGTTGCAAAAGAAAAGATTTATTTACTCAGGCATATTCATATCTCTTGTTCTTCTGTATTTCCTTACACATAATTATTTGAAAGATAAATGTTTATCTTCCTTCAATAAACTCTTTTTCCTTTTCGAAGAATAAACTGTAAATTTAATGTACACACAGCCAACAAAGAAAGCCCCTTTAAGTCATATCAAACATCAGGTATCAAACAACAGGTTTTCAAACATCCTTTATTAAATATTGTAGGTAGTATGTTGCCACTAAATATCTAAAATAGTAAAAAAAATAAATCAAGCATTTCTGACCTCAGAGGAGGATTTATAGAAAAAAATATACGATTTAACCTGTAGAAGTTTGGATAAAGTTTTGATCAAGTCTGCTTTTAAAAGATAAAAAAATAAAATAAAAAAAAAGTTTCCATAGAAGTATAAAAGAAGTAAAGACTTGAGCTCAGTACTATATAAAAACCATAAATATTACATCCAGCTGTCTTCCATTACTAAACCTGGTAATCCTTTGTGTTATAATCTGTCAATGTGTGTTCTGTGTCCTGTTCTTTACAATCCCCTCTTACTTTCTGCTTACTCTCCTCTCTGCCACCGATGATTCTCTGTCTGCCTTTATCCTCTTTGGCTCTATGCTGCACATCCCTCCAGGCGACTGGCCTACAGGATGAAAATGGGCACGCTACCCAATCCCAAATCCCCTAAAAAGCCCGCCTGTAAGTTTCTGCTTCTGAGGATTTCACCTCGTCGTTTACATTTTTACGTAATCACACTTTAGAACCAGCAGCCCATCCTTTCATCACTAATGTAATCAGTCATTACAGCCCAATAATATATTTGACAGACATTTATTGACCACCTTCGCTATTTATCGACATTCTTCCATCTTTATTCCTGGATCCATTAGCATGCAGCGTTCATTCTATGGTTCAGCCATTTTTTTTTTTCAAAGGAAGAGGGAGTATCATAGATATGAATTACTCTCTTTAATGTTTATTACATTTGGCCAAGCCTAAGTTCAGCCTCAGATGATCCAGACAACATAACAGCTGTTCATTGCATTAACAATATAACTACACTTCTCACCTGATCCTGTACATTCTGGAGAGGAGGTTTTTGAGGTGCGTTAACTGTACGTCATCCGATTATGCCTGAGCCATGGAGAGATGGGAGCTAAGCAGGATGCAGCTTGCTGCTCTACTTTAGGCAACAGCAGCAGCAGCAGCAAACCTGCAGGGACTTTCAACTCCTCCCTCCCATCTCCTCCTGCTTAGTTTATTCAACCAAATCTTAAAATAAGTGTCTCCCATCTTGTCTCTGACATCATCCTAGCATCTTTAAAGCTCAAACAACCTTATCTACATTAGCTGTCATGTATATAAAATCGGTTTTCTTTCTGTCTTTAATCATGTTTTACTCTTCTTTGCTGCATTCTGCTTTAGCTGAAGGATGTGACAAAGGTTGGTATACCTGCACACACATCATCCACAGAGGCCTTAAATGTTGATGCGTGCTTGTGTGGGTGAAAAGCTTTGGGATTTCTGCAGCTTCAGGCATAATTCCCCCTCCTGCTGCAGGAGCATCAGGGCAAATTCTTTGTGTTTTAGGTATGTGATGTGTGTTTACCGCAGCAGGTGATGCACAGGAAGAGCAGGACTACTGGAGCTCAACCAGGCAAAAATAGTTATTTTTAGTTAAACAAATTTTTTATGTGTGTCCAGATATATATTTTTTTTACCCTATAGATGGAAATTATTTCTAATTAATGATGAGGACTTTTGTACATAGATTTTATGGGTAAACATGTCTGTGGTACAAAGGGACCCAGTTCAAACCAGGTGGAGGTCATTCTTCCCTCCACCAACCATCTGCCTGTCTGTATCCTGTTGGGCCATGCCTCCCCTCTCCACCACCCCCAGCCCATCCTGCCTCCCCCTCTTTAATTTTTCCAGGTCTCTTACCCAATGCTTACCCCCTCTCTACCCTGCTTGCCTCCCCTACAGAGGACTGTGACTGTGAAGGCTATTTCAATGGGCAGTACATAGGTGAGAGTGTGCTCCTCTTTTTCCATCTTCCTCTCTGCTTTTTGCCTGCTGCAGCCTGGCTGTGTGCTGCTTCCCTCTGGGCTTTGTGGGTCAGGGGTCAAAGTGGCTTTATTGTTTTCACCTTGAACCGTCTTTAATTAAATCAGGCATGCCCAAAGTCAGTCCTCGGGGGACCGCTGTCCTCAGGTTTTAGAGGTTTCTTGGCTTCAGCACAGCTGATTTCCATCAATGGCTTATTAATAGGCATTTACTGAACTGCAATCATCAGAATTAGTTTGATGAAACTGAAAAACATAGAAGACCTGTAGGACAGGGGCCCTCGACAACCGGCTTTGGGCATGCACGTATGAAAAGATATATCTTTGAATATTATTTTTGCACACAAGTGAACTCTTTTTACTAAAACGCAGTTCTTTGCCCTGGATTTTATGTAGTGAAAAGCAGAAACTGAAAATAAGGCAATGAGGCTCTTCTCAGATACTAAATTTTCCATCCACTCTAAAACCATGCCATTATTTTGTCAGATATTCAATTGAAATTGTTCCTGCATAAGGTCAGTGAGCACAACCAATATTCTCATTTTCTAAATACCGAAAAAATTAAACATCCTATCTTAATACCAGAGGCTGGTATAGATCATCAAGATTTAATTTCCTGGCCGAAAAGTTCAAATGTTGCTTTAGTTGTTTTGAACCCTACTATATTTTCTCATTAAGCCCATTGAATGTGGACAATACTCTCTTATTCTCCATAAAATGTATTTTGTGGAGAATAAATAAAACAAAAATTATTTTGTAAAAAAGGTACTGAATTCATGCTTTAAAATTATCCGATACATTGCTTAATGATGATATTGCATTGTAAATCATTTTTTTAATATTCATTGTATTTGGAATACTTCCCTTTCAAAATAGCATCTAAAGTTGTTAAATGTCTTATTATGCATGGGAAGCTATGCCTACAGGATAAAAGGGATATTATTACTGAACAATAATGACTAGGGAAAATAACACATTTAGCAATTCATTTAAAAATTATTTTTTGTTTAACAGTGTTAACAGATTCCAAGTGCTTTAACATTGAGACTTGCAAAAATCTGCAATTCCTACTCATCTTTTAATACACAAGATAAAACAAATAAAAAAAACTATAAAGAATAAACCCAAAATACTACAGTGTAACACGGGTTGTATCAAATGTGTTCGTGCTGATTTTTAAATACTGTTACCTCAAAACTAAAACATGCAAACATTTGCACAATACTGATTGATTTTTACAAATGTGAATTTACAAGAAAACTTTAACAACAACAACAACACTGTGACCATGAAAATTAACCTTCAAATAACAGCATGGTAACAGTACAAACAATTTAAAAGCAAAAACAGAGGTGATTCACAGATGTAATGAATGTCTTTAGATGCGGCTAGTAGGTTGTTTGATAGCAGACTAAGGTTTGATGGCATTAAGGTGCATTATTTACCATGTGAGACTGAACGTTGCTGTCTCTGGGTTGTATTTGCATGTAGGTGGTGTGATTTTACAGTTGGCATCACATCAATAATGGAGTAGACTAGGCAGCATATAGATGGATTGGCAGAAAGGGCCTTTTTTTAAGGGGGTTAGAAAACATAAAGTATTAGAAAAGTAACTGTGTTTCAAATACAAAGGTTTAGAATAGTAAGTGTAACAGGATATAGTTACTTAGAATTAGTATTTCAAATACATAAAGGTAGTGCAAATATTCCATTACTTCCCAACATGCACCAATGCTTCCTGCAGAATAAAACTTGCACAACACGATGCTGCCACCCCTGTACTTCAAAGTTGGGATGTTGTTTTCAGGCTTGCCAGCTTCTCTTATTTTTCTCCAAGTGTAACAGTGATCATTGTGACCAAACATTACATTTTAGTTTGATCAGACAACAGTAGATGCTGCTCAAATCTAAAACCATATCCCTTGGGAGTATTATTTGTTGTAATGCAGATTTTAATGTTGCGTTTGGAGAAATGGCTTCCTTGTTGAGAGGCTTTCAGAGCATTGGCAAAGAACTAGTTTCACTGTGGATAATCACACTGTGGCCAGCTGCAGCTACCATTTTCCGACCCCGTTTTTCCTTTGTGTTGGGATCAATATACAATTTAAAACAAAAACATGTTAATCATTAGATGAGAGAATCTGAGAACGCATATAAAGGCATTTTCTCATGGAATGCATACAATATGCATTGTTTAAAAACTAGAAACACAGTCCCCTCAGGTATATATAAAATATCTTCATAGAATATCTTCAAAAAACGAAATTATTAGGATCCTTTAACCTCAGATTTTAACAGAAACAAAACAAGGAAACATGGAAAGCTTAATTACCCAACAGTTTTGTTTTGATTTTTTTTCAATGAAAAACAGGCTGAATTATAAAAGGGCTTTTTAACATTGAAAAATGTAGTTTCTGAATCTACATAAATGTGAAATTGCATTTTATGTATTCAAACAGAAAACCAAGCCATAGGTATGTATTATTCAGTTGGAGTCTTAAGTGTTTTTTGTGGAGTTAATGCATTAGCCTCCCCTGTAGTTTAATCTCCTCACTCCATCTCCCCTGTTAAACTTAAACTGATCGTCATTTGTTCTCCCACCCTGCCCACTGCTCGAATGACCTAGAGTACACAAAGTGATCTAAACACAGCTGAAAACCTGACACTAAATGTTTCCTGTGACATGAAATGCCTCAACAAGCAGCATTTGTGCTTCGTGTCTACCTGCCTGAAGCCGTTAACCCTCCATCATCCCTCCTGCTGTCCTTGCCTCTGAGTGTTTGGATCCTTCTGAACCCCCCCGCCCCCCACACCCCGCTTCTGACTAACTGCCCCTGTTGTTGTTGTCAGTGCGCTGCTCCTCCCCCTACTCATCTTCCCCACCCTTATGAGGGCCCCTCTGCGTTGGACGCATTGCACACTCAACCAGGCACGTTTGTTGCTTGTTCACCCTTATGTGGAGGTGTGAGGCTGGGTTGTGTGATGCTCTAACACCGGTTATAGTCTCTTCTAAGTGTAAAGCAGTGGCGCCCTCCTGTGGCCAGGTGTTTTCCTGGGAATTTTATTCAGGTACAGTGGCCGGCGCAATCCTGCAGGTACTTGACTGACAGGGGGGGATCCAGACTGTTCTGACCGTGGGAGACTGATTAGTCCCAGTCTTTTAAAGCCATGTCTCCCAGGGCCAGGCTTTCCTGAGTGTCCCGCCTCAGCACTGTAACCTCTCGTAAAGAAGCATGTCCCAAACATAATGACAAATGTAAATATCATCGATGAAATCTAATTTTTACAAGAAACCAAAACTTGGCGGGTTTTTTTAGTTGCATGTAATACATTTCTCTGAAGCATGAAATGTATATATTCTTATTGCCATTCTTACTTCCAATGAGATCCATGTGCGCCTATACAAATGTTATAATGCATGATGCTTGGATTCTTCACTTGTAACATAAAAAGTTGTGTGTTGTGTACTCTCCACCTTTTTAATGTTTCTCTGTATCCATGGCCTCCCTGCAGCTGGTTTACGGAGGAGCTTCCGGTTAAGTCGTAAGGACCGGCAGGGATCATCTGGAGAGTGCTCTGAGCTTGGGGAGACAGATTTTCTTACCTATGAGGAGGTGACCCGCTACCAGCAGAGGCCCAATGAGAGGCCGCGTCTGGTGGTTTTGATCGGTAAGACTGAGCCACTAAACCCAGAGGCGATTCCAATAAAACTGAAACACCACAGCTATGTTATGTCTTTCACTAAGGTTCTCTTGGAGCCCGAATCAATGAACTGAAGCAGCGGGTGATAGCCGAAAACCCCCATCGATATGCTGTAGCAGTTCCACGTAAGTTCCCATTTTATCCCCTAAGCCTTATAGAATCAAATAGTGGTAACCACACTAGATTTATCTCTTTATCACACAGATACAACCAGACCTAAGAAACCTCATGAGAAGGATGGTGTGGAGTATCACTTTGTCACCAAACAGCACTTTGACGCTGATGCTTTAAATAACAAGTAGGTTTCATTTAAGTAAATGTTCCTAGCAGTTGATAACTTCCTTGGCAACTTCATGTGCTTCTAGTATAAATCCTGATTAGGGTTAAAAGTAGTGCCTAATCTAAGAAGGGCCAAGCTCAAACCCAACAGCTACAGTGTGAAAAGTCTCATGGCTGTTAATGTAAATGCTCTTTTATGAACCTTTAAACTGGTTATAATATATTGAGGAACCCTTGTTCTGCCAGTTTATCCTTATCCTGCTTCTAAATGTGCTTGATTGTTTGTAGCTCCACCATGAGCCAACTATTTTATTATAAAATTGTAAAAAAGAAAAAAAAAATAGAACAAAAATCAGGAAAGAATGGAATGAGTCAGAGCATTTATTTATTCATACTAAAAGGTTCTCTTTTTGGAAAGGACAGATGCACTCATTGCTCTTTTTAGATAACCCTTGATATTCTGTATTTTGGTTACGACAGAGTTAAAAAAAATATCTACACTTTAATAAAACCCCTGTTCTGTCCAAGCAGTGTTACATTAGCTGACAATAGTTTAAATCCTCTAAAATAAAACCTCTGGGTGTCATTTTTGCTACACCTATGGCCTTTATGGCAGACTGAGATAAAAGTGTACGATGCTGCAGTTCTCTCTGTGCCTCTTAGCTTTATCTGCTGCTCATAAACAATAATATTAGGCTGCAAAAAGTCTTAGTTTATGAGGTCTGATGGTTAAAGCATAACCCTAAAGTTTAAATGATGTTTAATGTTAAGTTGAAGGCGTTATAGTCAACTTTAAAGCGAAGGGGAGGTGAACATTGTAGATGAATAAAACCTTTAAAACTGTATAAGTAACAGATACAATTTATCCTCTTTGCTTGGACACACAAAGCAACACAGCAACCTACTTTGATTTAAAATAAAGTTTTGTAACTTTTCTGCAAAATAGTTTGCTTCTGAAAGCTCATTAAATGAGCTGTGCTCATGTAGGAACTGAGGTTCACTTTTGATCCAGTAGGCTTTAATGTGTTATTAGCAATGTTGCTGGCCAATTATTTACATGGAAAATGGAATTGTGTCAAGAATTATCCTCCTGTATATGTTTTGGATGTTTCCTTGGTTCACAGTCGGTTCTGCATGGAGAGAAGGTAACGGACATGTTTGAGACAGGACAGTGGTCTTTGAGCACAGATGGTCGTTTCCTGTCAGTCTAGAAGTAATGTTGGAAGCCATCATGAAAAATTATTATTAGTTATTTTCTTGGGAGTTAGGCCTTTTCTCACAACTGTCATCAGTGTATTTTTCCTCTCCCTGACAAATAGAAACCATTCTTCTGTATGAGATAATTTCCACCGGCTTTGTTGTATTTTGGCATCAGAAATAATGATTACCTGTTATGAATGATTATTGAATGAATAGGTCCAAATTAAGTCACAAAATGCCCAACCTGTTAAAGAATTTTATCTCAATGTTAACTTCATAAACCATATTCATAGCATTAATATTTTGAACTGGAAGATCGTTTGTTGAGCATAATTTCCTTTCTCTGTTAATTTCCCCCGTATGTATGTTCATTAGAGCTTTGGCATAAACTGCTATACTTCCAGGTCTTGAGTTGCTTTTAGGCCAGATGAAAAGCATTTAGTCTTGGGCTAGCAGTTACCCTCAGTCTCCAGCTATTCTGGATGTCAAGGGAAGAAGCAAAAATAATATTCTACTCCAGGTTAGATGTTAATTGCTTACAACCTTTAAAGTAGAACCTGCCTTCTTAAAGTCTGAATTATATCTTTCAAACCTATCTGTTATTTTTCCCCTACAGATTTATAGAGCATGGGGAGTACAAGGAGAACCAGTATGGCACCAGCATAGAGGCCATCCGCTCTGTACAAGCCAAGAATAAGATGTGTATAGTTGATGTGCAGCCTGAGGTGAGAATGATGTTAGAATGAATATCAAAATAATCTGTCATAACCTGTCAAAATGAGCTACGGGCTACAGGTTTTCCCAGGGTGCAAGCAGTCTTGTCACATGTCTTTAGCAAACAGTTTCTGACACATCCCTGTTGACTTTGCCGATTCGTGCCTCCTTCCTGACCTTTATATGTAAATCTATTTTTGCTGCAGGCTTTGAAGAGACTACGAACTGCAGAGTTCAAGCCATATGTTATATTTGTCAAACCTCGAATTCCTGAAAGCCGACTTCGCCGCAGTGCAGCCACCTCACCAGGAGGGGGAGAACACGGCCGTCTTACAGTGAGTACTGTATCAAGATCTTTCCTTTGGACTTAATGGCAAACATGCCCTTAGTGGAATTGATTTTTCTCTACAGTATTTTTGAACTTATGGCTCAAAGAAACTCCCTTTAGTCCAACTAAATCAGTGCTCAGCAGAGCTCTCAGATCTGCATGTTTAGCAGGTTGTCCTGCTGCTTGGAGTCGAATTTAAATGAATAGGTCATACTCTGGTTTTTACAGACCTTGGTAGTACCCTGAGGGGCAATATAAAGTACAGCATTACAACGGCATCAAGTAGAGTAACAACAAAACAAGACTGAAAAGGAAAGCAGCCATCAGGAGTAGAATGGAAACTGGCAGCAGGGAAAGAAAGTTTACAGGTTAATAAGGTTCTCCTCCCTTGAGTCCTGTTGGCAGAGCAGTGGGACCTAGGACTGGACAATAACCAGTAAAGTAACCATTTAAAGAGGGTGTGCTGTAGCAGGGAGAGACTTAAAGGGGAAATGAAACATTCAACCAAACTAAATTCACAAGATTGTGTCTTATTATGATCAATAACTGTAGTAGAAATGTAAAAAAATATAAAAGCAAAAGAAAAATCCAAGCTTTGTTTTATAATTTTTTTGGTAAGAGAGCCCCCATATTGCATGCAGTACCTCAAACTGTGATGTCACAGGGTTGGTCAGCACTAGCTGGAGCAACTGTATACATTGGATATAGTTTGGTTGAATCTTTCATTTCCCCTTTCAACAAAGTAGAGGCAAAATGTTGGCTTTGTTTTCATCTAGCACACTAGTCATGTTAAGGGTTCTAACAACTTTTGCTGAAAAAAAGGCATTCTCCTGATTAAGTCTCCTGCAAGGAATTGCTAAAAATAACACATTAGCACAGAAGAAGAGTAAATCAAACATTTCTGCACTCATTGCAGTTCTTTTCCTGTATCTGGGTAGATCAGTTTCCTCTGAAACACACCAGAACGCTTCATTAGCTGGCCAAATAACATGCCGGTGGAGCGATAATTCTTCTTATGAGGGAAACGAGTCAGCCACCAGTGTTTTAAACATGTTATGATGATCTGGGGGCCTAACTTGAATTAACAAACCATATCATGGGTTATAGGAATAAGGTGGATACGCTGATGTAAACAGGTTTTGATGAAAATGGAAACAGATCTCTGCTTTATTTGAAATTTTCACATTTGATATTATGAAAGCATTACATCTGACTCACCAAAGATGAGTCTTAGCAGGTAAAAAAAAAAACACAGCTAAATAAAGTATAAAGCTATAAAATCCTTTGTCTTTGATTCTTTTCCTCAATAGATACCAACCTTTATTTGCATCTCATATCTAAAGGATGAATTCCCTCATGAACTGTAACTCAGCTGAGCCACTTATGTGATGTAGAAGAGATGCATCTAAAAGTTGCAAGATGGTAGCTTCAAAGAAAGTCTTGCACACCACCATTTTAGGTTATGTCCCTATTTGTTTAAGATAAATAAAATGCAAAGAAATAAATATGAAAAATATTCCATTTTCCAAGTCCTTCAAGAATATTTTAGCATCTGTGAGAATTAGAATCTCATAAGCTACAAATTTACAGTAAAACTATTTTTTTTCTTACCCAATAGGATGAAGATATCCAGGAAATGCGTCAGTCTGCCATTCAGATAGATCAACAGTATGGACACATGGTGGACCGTGTCCTGATCAAGGAGGACTCAGCCAGCGCTTGTGCTGAACTGCAAGGCATTTTGGAAAGATTGGAGCGTGATTCTTTCTGGGTGCCTCTCAGCTGGGTGCGGACCTAAGTCTAATACCCCTAAGACCATCTGAGGAATCTCATTAAACTCTTGAACTGGTCTTCAGAGCCAAAACCCCTCCACCCTAAGGCTGCTGGCCAACCCAGAGAGTCTGCTGAACTGCAGCACCACAGAAAGATGAAGTCAAGGAAATACCTCAGTTTTGCGGCAGGCTTAACATTTGATTGCCTAAGTTCCCAAAGTAATACATTTGGCATGTTATGCACATTTAATTTGATGTAATTACTGGCAATCTTAATGTGTATATTCACAAGTGTTAACACCAAAATAAGGGTTTGAACCTAACTGAATCACAGACCAAAAAAAAAACAGAAATAGTAATTCAAGTTTTCCTAAAGACAAAGGAGTCAAATTAGGTTATTGCTTTTTTTTAAAAATCTGCTCCTATTGACCTTCTAAAGTTTACAGCTTAATTCATTTAACATTAATAGGTTCTAAATTGCATCTGGCTCCAGGTAATCTTTTCAGGAAATGGAAATATTTGAATTTTAGACCTGGGCTATACTGTATCTCAAGCATATTATTCCTCAATCTGTTGCACACTACAGCAAAGTGTCAGCTTTTAGTAGCATGATTTTTTTTTCTACTGTCTTACAAAACAGCAGCTGCTGTAGGCTTCCAGTTTATTCCTGCTGCTCATGCATCCTGTACAGAAAGACATTAACGGACAGTTAGCTCCTTAAGTTACAAATTAAGGAAATGTCCGAATGGAATGCAAGAATGTTTTCCACTAAACTTGTTTTAGAAAATGCATGACAACAGATTATTTACTGATGTAAAAACTGTAAATGTTACTCCTGGTGTGCCAACGAAAGATGTCGTAGCACTTCAATGCAACCTGTTTACCTTTGTCAGTTTGACTGTAAAGCATTGTGCACATGTTTGCAGTGTGTGTTAACACATTACATTGTCCCTTTTGCAAATAGGAATGGAGTTTTGTACAGTTTCTTGAACATATCTGTATTTTTGGCTGAAGATCAGATGTTTGAACTGAAGAACTTTTTATGCACAACATAGATGGAGGATTTTTTTGTATGTCAAATAAAAGACATTGATGAGAGGAATGTTTGTAGCAACTAAGAACCTTACTTTGGCATGCCAGTACTATATAAGAACTTGAAAAATCTGAGTCTACAGAGACAAATCTGATCAGGAATAAAGTCATTTTGTGTTGAATGTGAGCATCAAACACTTTCAAATCATCAGTAATTGTTTTTCTCACATGCAATGTTTGAGCTGTGTGAACTCGATCAAGAATGTTGACTTTGTAACCATCATGTACAAAGTGCCATAATAAAAGGAGGCTGATTCAAACTTTAATTTAGTTATTGCTTCCTTAAATTTAACATGAGGATGTGTAATGTGTGCTTTTACCTTGGCACCAATTATAGACTCCAGTGAAGTGAAGTGCATCCAAAACGTTGCCAGATTGTCCTTGGCTCTGTTTTTTAGAGCTCCCAGACCGTCACTTATCTCTTCTGAGTTTTCTAGTTGCTTGGCCCTAAGGAGGGATTATTGTCAGAGTGAGCAACGGAAAATATGCTAACACCTTTAAATGCTCTCTACAAAAGGCATACCTCTGCTTTTTTTCTTTTGAAATGAGGGAGAGAAGGGCCTTTTTACCTTGTAACTATTCCTGATAGTGTAATTTATATAATTATAAACAAACCTTCCTCTATGCTGAAAAAAAATGCCCTTTTAGCCCAATGGTAAACCTTTTTCAGTGTTTCTGCAAATCTGGCAGTATAAAGTAATTTACAGGTAGAGTACTTTTGTGAAATCTAATCAAAATGTTAAACTTTGAAGAAGAAGAATTTGTAGATTGTAACTGATCTATATTTTATTTCCCCAGATGATTTTTGTCCAGAGTTTTTGCAATTAAATAGAATAAATCTGAATATCTAGCCGTACTTGGCTAAATGAGACTGGGCATAATATGAATTAACTCTGCATCATGTCTTTAGGGATAAAGCACATATGCCTTAAAAAATAAACCTAATTGTAGAAACCCAAACCAATAATATAGAGCTAATAAAATAACTCGTTAAGTGCTTCACTGTTGATTTAAAAAAAATATTTTGAGTCCAGATTTCATTATGAAAGCTATGACAATAACTACTATTCAGTCCTTTTACACTTCAAAAGACAGACTTAAGTTTTAAAGATGATGGAGTAATTCCCTGTTCCATAAAATAAGAGTTTGGCTTCTAATACTTAAACGATGAGTTATATGCAGCTTTCCTTCTACAAGGAGCCTGGAACTCCTGAGACTGCAGTAGGAAGATTCAATTAAACTGAGTAACAACTTTTATAATTACCAAAGCTGCTGTGCTTATAAAATTAGTTTCTATCATATCTAAAAGTGTGATTAGGCATAGAAATCACCCATGTTTCTTCCAAGCTTGCTAATGTTTATGAAGGCCGGCTACAAATTACATATAGCACATAATACCTCTGCCCTGGAACCGGTCATCTGTAAAATGTCTACATTTATAATTGAATCAGAAAGAAAAAAAACTAAATTAATTCCAACATTTTACATACATCAAACTAATCATCTGTTGAGGCAGATTAAAAACTAAATTAATTTAGTGGTGCTTTAGACATAAGTATTGGAAATGAAGGAATAAAAGGAGTAATCAAATCTTATAGAACTGGCCTAAATTAAATTTGGATGATTGATTGATATAGAGTCATTTAGGAGGCTGGCTATTACTAGGAAAGATTCCCACTATTTTACACTTAATCCACTGGAAAAAAAAAAACAGAAATCTAAGTAATTTTTGCTTGAATTGAGCAGGTGAAACACATTGCCATTTAAAACAATTTACATTTACTTATTACAAATGCATAAAATCTAATTATCTTATTTACCTACTCATATTAAGGGTAAATACACTTTTTCTAAGAAAGTTTACTCGTTTTCAGATCGTTTTTACTATGTTCATTATAATGGCTCACACTAATTCACTGGAGAACGTTCTGTCCATTTGTTATTGAATTTCTCTAAATTTGGGAATTATGCGTTGCTTTTTGAAATTGTTTATCCTACTTCATGTTGTAAAAATATTTCTACTTCTATGAGCTTTTGAGTGAACAGGTAATAAGTGGAGGATGTGGTTAGTGAAACTAAAAACATTCCACATGGTTTTTTTTTTAAAAGTTCAACAAAGAAGCAATCATATTTTCAGACAGATCTTAGTTTTTTGGATAGCGTTTTAACCTCTATTGAAATCCCCATCTAAAAATACTTGATCATCCCTGATCGTTAAGAAAAAACAGCTTATGATCTGTGTACAATAGTTGCTCGGGTTAATTCTTAGTCATGCGGTTCATTACAACCAAAATACAGGCAACGCAACTTTGCATGCATAACATTTATGGTTGGTTTTAAATAAAATAAATCCAAATAAAGCATTTATAGGGACAAAATTTAAATATGATTTCGACATGTTTACATGCACCAAAGACAATCCGAAATAGAAATAGTTCAACAGAATTAATCTTTGCAAGCAATACCCCTCAAAATGGGTCCTGTATTCAGTTCAATTGCACTCTGCCCCCTGAGATGGCTGTTAAAATGCTCCATAATCAATATAAATACAACACATAAAGATGCTGTGGCTGAAAAAAGTTTGGCCAATCATCATATTGAGCCTGACAGTTCAAGAAAGTAATATCGTGTCATGTTCATTTCAAGGTAGGCGAGCAAATATTTTTGGCAATATTAGGTATGACTCTTGTAGTTGATTTAAGATTAAGGTTCTTGTTATCTTCATAAGAAAGTTTGTATTCATTTCATCTCTACACTATATATTACCATGTTTTTCATGAAGAGAATTTTTTTTCAAACAATGTAACACTTTTTGAAGTATCCTAGAAACTTTTAAAACCTTGGTATGGTTTTATAAGATTATGCCTAGTGGTCTATACCTTCAGAAGGTTTGTGTGTCTTAAAAAAAGGTGAAAGCCTGTTTCTACACACAGAATAGATCTTCAAAGAGGGTGAAAAGTAATTTGTTTGCTATTTCACTGAACGCATGTGCAAGCATTTTTTTTGCACGTTTGCCTTCAGCACTTTGCAGATCATATTCTAGTGGCAGAACCGCGCACATTTATAGGTGGAGGACATATAAATATAAACATTTTACGGACGCAAAGTGATTTTCAAAATGGAAAAAACAACTGCAGCTACAGTTTTTTCTTCATCTTTTGTATCTCTGAAAGTCAGTTGCTGCTTTTGAAAAAAATCAATGTTCCCTGGTCTTTGTTACATACAGTAGGCCAAGCACATGAGAAATATTCTTATACTATAAAGCCTGAACTGCCATGATTCCCAGTGAACTGTGGTTTCAATCCCATTGTTGGTGAGGGTCTAACAGGCTATCAAACCTGGAGCAGAGCATCGGCTGCATCTATACCATTTTTTTTTTTTTATTGTAGTTTCCCATTTTCTTTCACGTCTTCCTGGATGAGTTTCTCATTCAATTAATTCAACACCATTTTAGGTAAGCATGAATCATTTCTGAACTTTTTTATATGAAATTTCCCCTCTCACAACTTTTAATCAAAGTAAGCTGTAGTTTTTTTAAGTCTCTGAAATGACCAATTTTACTCCCAGACAAATGCATGTACAGCATTTGGAGCCTTCATCTTTACATAAAGGTCACCCCTTTGACACCTAATTCTACAGAAGGAATAGCCTCACTGATTAAACCTTACATGGCTATATTTTGGAACGGAATAAAAAAGGGTTTTAGCCAAAGTCATAAACAGCCTGTTGGTGTTACTGAGCCACTTTCACCACAAGTAGATATGTTTATTATTTTTGAAACTGTAAATGATCTTATCAGTAATATTGGCATGTTATTTAAAAAAGACAACTACATGTCATTTCCATGTCATGATGCGCATGTCAAAATTCTTTTAGAGATGTTCAATATGGAAAGATTAAATGCACAAATGGAGATTGAATTATGCATGTTACAGGAAATTCAAGATATTTTGAAAGATAATTATGTATAATTAATTACTTAGATTACTTTTAGACACCATGAACACCAAGACAGATTATGTGAGATTAGACAACAGATAGCCCATTAAAAGCAGAGACGTAGTTTAAATTGCAATGCCTACTTCTGCAAAGCATATAAAGACTAAATGTTGTTATAAGTCAATAAAATGTTATCTTAAACACAAAGACATTGTTTTTTTCTTACGTAAATATTTGGCGTTGCATTGTGCAGCGTTAGGCCCCAGTGACATCAAACATGGTGTACATTCCCTGTAAAAGAAAAAACAAAAATCAAATCTTATGTTTAAAATGAATATTTTCA